TCACTCAGATCATTTGTTAAGCAACTATAGTATTTAAATAAACTCATAATTACCCTCAAGGATTTGGACTCAGTGCATTATTTCCTGACACATTTTTAAAATCTCCTTACGCTAGCACAACCACTCGCCTTAATGTTCTTTGCTCTTCTTTTTCATTCTTAAAGACATTTCCAAGAGGAGCCCTTTGCTACATCTAGGGTGGTCTTCCACTCCCGGTGGAATGCCCGATCACCCTGCCTCACCCTTATATAAACTCCACTGGTTTAATTGTTTCCATGCCCCCTGAAAGCTTAATCAAATTGTTAAGCAAAATTTCTCTAACTACTTCATCCACAGATATCCCCTTTCTCTTGAATACAGCCAATCTGTTCTATCCTGCTGTGTTAATTTTGTAACAAATGCTGAATTTCCCACAAGAATTACCTTATAGTCTTTTGTCCTGAGTGCACTTTGTCAGAAACATATGACCACATTTATGTCTTTCCAAAATGTCAGAATCTATGGACTATATACATGTGTATGTGGTTTATGTTAGGTCTCAAGCCCAGATCATGCAGCTAACATGTATGTCCTCCCAGCATCCCTACATCCTCCTGGCTGACATACCCCACCCCTACCCTAGACTTCCCCAGCCTGGGGACTGCCCTTCCCCCAGACTCTCTTCCCTTTATAACCCAGACATTTTGGCTAACCTCAGCCTCTTTTATCTTTTGGTCTCCTGACTCTTTGTCGGCCTCTTGGCTTCTGGCTCCCCTCTCTCCAAACCCTTCTCCTCATATGGTCCAGCTCAGTCATGTCCACTCTGGACCCTTCCAGATGCCTCTGGCTAAGCTCTCTCCTATACCTACAATAACCCTCTCTTCCAGTGTACCTAGGAGCTCTCATGTCTTCCTTTTATTTCTTTCATTCGGTTAACTAAATGGTGATAAGGCCACGAGGCCATAGCACAGTTCAAAGTTTAGAAATATGAACAGAGTCTGTGTTGATAACCCAAATCACTCACAAGGAAGAGTTGTTGCTATAGAATCAGGCCACAGGAGAGCCTGGGTTAAGAGCAAGGAACAGTAGATACCAAAGAGTAGGACTAGTCTGGGTTCAGATGAACAGCCTGCTATTAAGCAGGTGGGGAATCCTCTACCTGTCGGTTCTTAATGCACATATGACATGTCTGCTAATAGGTCTGTGTGGGGGCAGGTGAGGTCTTGCCCTTGCAGTGCTGTGTGTCTACAACTCTGTGGGGTCCAGGTGAGAGAGTTATGCTCTTTCTTTGGTCTAGCATGACCTGGTCTCCCTGGTGTGATTTGAATATGTTTGTGTACCCCTGTAGCCTCAATCCACCCTGATAAGCTTATAGGGCAGAACCCTTGCTACTACCAGGAATGAGTCGTCTACTGGTTGTGCCACATGAGTGATGCAGGACAGACAGCATCCATCCAGAAGCCTAACCATCCTCCAGCCTCAAAAGGGAGTTAAAAGCTGCTTATAAAATGGAGTAGCACAGGCCAGGGCACAGTCTGAAAGACCACTGTTTCACTTGAGGTGGAAAATGTTAGAGCAGAACACAGCCTGACTGCAACGCCTTTTACTGTTTCACACCACCCACAAAACAAATTCTTAAGGAAATACATGGAAAAAAAAGAAATGGAAAAATAGCAGATTTAGTCTCAAGAAGCTACATTTACACTTTGCCCATTCAGTAGAAATAGATTAATTTGATAGATCACGTGGTGACTTAGTTGATATAATGTCTCCTCTCCAGTGAGTACTTTGACATGTTTGTCCAAGTCAGATGACTGTAGGTGAATGGACTTACCACTTGTCTTTATTCTGTTTTGGGGCCAGTGCCATGCCAGCTTTGTTAGCATGGCTCTGTGACATGACTTTAGATCAGTAATGCTGATACTTCCAGCAGTAGCTTTCCCCCCCTCCCCTCAGGAGTTTTGATGGTACATTGAATCTGTAGACTGCTTTCGGTAAGAACCACTTTTCACAACATTAATTCTCCGAATCTCTGAGCACCAGAGGCCTTTGCTTTTTCTGGTTTCTTCTTCAGTGTCTTTCTAGAGTATTTTGAAGCATTCACTGTGGAAGAGTTTCATCTCCTTGCTTAGATTTGAGCCCCTAGCTAGAATAGTATGAATTCAGTCAGCGGGTCCTCTGCCAAGGTGGCACTCAGCCACAGCAGCCTGGTTCTGACCAGTGTTCGTGTGAATTCTTTTTCCACTGCAAAACTACCACACAAATTCTAGGTGGTTCCCCTGCTTGGGCTGCAACTTTGTGGCAAGCGAAAAACTTTCCAGTAGCTCCGGTCTGTGTTGTCTGTGGTGTGTGGTGATGGAATTTCCTAAGATTCTCTTCGGATTTCTTTTCTCCCTGCAGAGCAGTCCTTAGTCCTGAATGAAAAGACAGAGTGGTAGTTTGTGGAACAAAGCAGTCCTCTTTCTAGGCTATTGTCCCAAGTAGTCGAGTCTCAGAATTTCCTGGTCTCTCTATTGCTGTCCTTACTAAGTGGACTCAGCAGGTTGTCCCTACATGTACATATGCATATATGTAACAATAATTATGAGGAGTTTGAGAGGGAATGTGGGGGGGTATGTGGGAAGAATTGAGGGGGGGATGAGGGAAGGACAGAAATGATGCAAGTACAGCACTCTATATGAAATTCAAATGAATGACTTTGTGGAGATTTCTTTCTTCCTTTCTTTTTAAAAATATTTTTAACTTTGTGGATTTTTGTGGATTTCACATCATGCACCCCAATCCCACCCATGTCTTTGCCCTTTTGTATCTACCCTCTGTCCTTGTAACCTTCCCCAAATAAAGTAAAATTAAAAGAAAAATTAATAGAAACTATAGTGTGTCACAGTTAGTCACATACATCTTACAAATGTTCATTGCAATGAGTTATAGGTCTGGGTCAAGGCCTCTGGCTTCTTCTACATTTTCAAATACTGGATAATGTTTAATTAGATAATAAAAACAAGAGTATACACACAGTCAGGCAGTGGTAGTGCATGCTTCTAGTCCCAGCACTCAGGAGGCAGAAGGCTGGCCTGATCTACAGAGCTAGTTCCAGGACAGCCTGGATTGTCACATAGAGAAATCCTGCCTCAAAAAAAAAAAAAAAAAAAAAGAAAGAAAGAAAAAGAAAAAGAAAAAGAAAGAAAAGAAAAGAAAAAGGATATACTCAAAAATAAGCAGACTTTCTTCAAAAATACTCATTATCCTATTTTGCTGAAATAAAATTGCTCCTGTATCTTATTCTTTATCCTGCATGTCACACACATTTCACTTAATGGCCACCTGAGTTTTCTTTCCTTCATTTTCGTGATAGCTACATACTGATCAAAAGTCTCTTCCAAGAGCTCTGTTTTGAAGTAGAAGTACCCTAAAGAAGACATATGAATGGGTATAAAGTAGGTGTGTCCTAAAGAACACATATGAATGGTGGCCTGCAGTCTTTCCTGTTTCAACCATTTATTCATTTTCTTTCTGTGTTAATACAAAAGAGCTGTGTGATCTTGCTTTGTGCTCACCAAGATCTATAAGTCATTTGCATTAAAAAAAAGGTTATTAAAATAAAAACTGCCAAAATGTCTGGAAATAACCACACTTTGTGTGCAGTGCCCTTTTTAGGGAAATAACATGTCAAAAGTAAATAGAGAATAACCACATACAAGAAAACTTGCCCATGCACATATAATAAGGCTGACACATTTTTTTCACCAGTGGAATTTCCAAAAATATGTAAAAAAAATATTGAAGATACGAGCTGTATCAAATGCAGTCTTTGTGACTTTTCAATTAATCTCCACAAGTTTTCAGAGATTCTGTAAACAACAAATGCATGAAAACTATAATTAAGACTTTTTCCCTAAAATAAATCAATGGGTTAGAGAAAGATGAGAGAGGGAGACTAGCAGGACAGATACTTATTAACAACACTATATATCAATCATTTCTAACATTTTTATATTTTATAGGCTTTTTGAAACTTCGATTTGGGGTTTTCTTTTTTCTGTTTCTTTTTCTTTTGCTTTGTTTTGCTTTGTTTTTAGAGACAGGGTCTTCTGTGTAGCAGCCCTGGCTGTCCTGGAAATCTCTCTGAAGACCAGGCTGGCCTTGAATTCGTAGAGGTCCACCTGCTTCGGTTTCCCCAGGGCTGGGATTAAGGGTGTGTGTCTCCACTTTCAGCTGTTTTTATTCTCTAATTTATTTGCTCATTTCTTCATTCATCTCTTATTAATATCCCCAGTTTAGGTTCTTTGTTTGGTGTTAGTTTATTACTTTCTCCTAACTGTAGCTCTCAAACCGTGGTCAGTTGCTCTGCATGGCAAACTTCGTTGGAGGGTAGTGGGCATAAAGCCGCTTTCTTCAGTGAAAACCAGAAACCACAATCACACGGTCTTTTGTTAAAGAAACACTCCAAATTGTGACCTCAGCATGCATGAAGCTGAGTCCAGAGAAACTGACCCTGGGCTGCATAACTTGTGTTAAAACAAACAAAAATAGCAAATTTAAAAAGCTATCACTTCTTACCTCTGTTGCCCATTCTAATTCCAAACTTCTTTGGATCTGCTCCTGATCTGCAATGTCAGTTCGTGGCTACCAGATGCTTTAACCTCTGATGGTATCAAATCCTTACCTGCCTCTGGGGCATCAGGCCAACGTCTCGTATTTCCTATTGTGTGTTGTCAAAATTTACCCAAGAAAAATACCTTTTCTCAACTCTTGTTACTTAGCTTATAGAATGATTTTATGAGAATAGCATAATACAAATTTAGCATACTGTAAAGCCCAGCTTCCTAGAATCATGAGTAGAATATTCATTTCTTTCCCTGCTGCAACTATAACAATACTCTGATTTATGGCAACCACGCTTGTGTCTCTCTGAGCATACTTGGGACACTGCTAAAAGACAAAAAGCAGGGCAATGTGCTTTTTTGTGAAGGAGAAAGAAACAATTTGTCAAAGTCTCTTATTTACTTTTGTCATTTTAGCTATTGACTTCAACATGGCGAATATTTTAAAGAACCCAAAAGCACACACCATGTCTGCACTCAAGGAGGAGTCATCAGTGTCAAAAGTTACGACAAAGGTTTGTCCAGTAGTAAATATAAGAACCTTACTTGTTCAGTTTGGCTTCACCCAGTCATTCTGGCCAGCATATTCTCAATATATATATTTAGGAAAAAAATTTAATGATTAGATATTTATTTGGGGATCTTAATCTTAAATTTAAATGCTCTATTTTCTTCTGACAATACCACCATCTCTAGTGAAAATTTTTAAATAACAAAAATCATAGCATTTATCTTTTCTTCATGACAGTCCTTTGCAGTGGCTTCTCTTGGGTTGACATACAAAGATACCTTCTAGTGCACCCATGTAGCTGTCATGGTTGCCATGACAACTCAAAGGGATATTAGCAAGGGCTGCCCTGGCTTCACTTCCTATGTGTGGCCCTGGAGGAACTGACATTGTAGATGCTGTTTTGTCAAGAAACACAGCTTAGGTCCTCTTGCTTTGTTTTTTAAGGGAGCCATTCTAGGTGACAGTAGCCTAGGAACACAGATTTAGGTAACCCCAGATTCTATGTTCTGTGAAACTGTGAACGCAGTTTCATAGTTTTATAGAATAGAGAAAATCATCAGTCGAGGCAAGTTTAAAATGCACTGATGGGTACATCATAGAGTAAAGACAACAAGATGAGGGAGGACTTTCCAGAGGTCCCAAAGTGCTATTTGACGTCATTCTTAGCTTTGGGGTTGGTAGATGCTGGTGGCTTGCTAAGATAATAGATTCCAAAAGAATTTATTAGTCACAGTATGTTAGTTCTGACACAGAGATAGGCAAAGTAAGGCTCTTCTGAGGGCTAAAGCTAGCCTGAGATAATGTACCAAAGATAATTACCCAACTCCAGCAGTAACACTCTAATATCCCACAGTATTGTAGTTCCAGTCAGTCTGTCAGTCTCTGCAGACACAGCTTCTTTGCAGGAGTTTTTGTTCACAGTTCTCCCTGTTGAACAAAACATCACATTTTGCACATGCAGGGGCCGCATGCTATTACTAAATAGTATACGGTCCCTTGTAGCCAGGAAGGGCTAGGATCTGCTGTATCGAGGCTGAGTAGTAGGCAGAACAGCAGTCTTCAGGAGAGAGGAGTAGCTGGTAAAGGCCATCGAGAAAGACACTCAGATTCCTAGCAGAAGCCCCCTGGATCCTTTAAGGTCGCTCACAGGGAGAGATGTCACAGACTCCCCACTGTGTTGCTTTAGAAAAGCCAGATAAGGTCTTTGGCTTGAAATTCCAAATTTGATCTCTAATTTATATATGAATCCGGTTTTAAATCTGTTAGTCTTTTTTGTCAAAATTTTATCTTTTCAGAACCAGGAATGGATATTGTGCCCACATAAATTTATTTTGTTAATTTCAGTATTCCTGTATTTCTTGGCCATTAATAATCTAATGAAATCTCTTCCTACCTTAAATACTTAGTTAGTTTATAGGTTAAAAAATTAAAATCTGTAGAAGTTTATCTGGAAATATGATGTCATTGCATTTTCTTTTATGGCCATATTACCAGCCTATAAAACTGAAGAAAGTTAATAGAAACTACAGAGCTACTATTCAACCAGCACTGGGGACAGGGGGATTTGTAAAGTCTAAGCAACTCTTCTCAGAGTCCACCAGCGAAGCATAGACATAATAGTTTTCAATGTCATTGGCTCTGTCCCCTTGCATATCTTTGGCTGCTACTTGAAAAGGCTGAGCAGTTGATTAAATTGCTTATTAGCAAGAGTTTATTACAGTTGTAGAAGCCTGAGTCCTGCAGCTACCAATTAGTTTTGTTGTGCTTGGATCTGGACAATCCGGAAAAGGCTCTTATGCGGAAGCCTTGTTCCCCACCTGGGGGCGCTGTTGGAGGTTGTGGGCAACAGGTGGTGGGAACATAACTTTGAAGGGTATTTTTCTCCTCCTCCTCCTCCTTCTCCTCCTTCTCTATTTTCCTCTTCCTCCTTCTCTTCCTTCTCCCATCTCTTTTCTTCCTGTTCTTCAGACTGAATAAAATCTTAGCCTTGATGTTCAACAAAAGACTAGAGGGAGAGCTTAATGTTGAGCAAAATAAGTCAGACTCAGAAAATCAGAGTTGCCCAATTTCTCTCATATGTGGAATCTAGGTTTAACATATGTGTGTATTTATATGCCTATATGGGACCTGAAGGTGAAAGGGGGCTATAAGGGAAGAAGCGAAGGAGGAAGTGAAAGAAGGAAGCAGGAGAGAACAAGAAGAGCTAATAAAGAGAGAAGAAAGAAAATAATCCCACTTCCTTTTTAATGATTTTTTAAGTTTAAATTACAATCTTGTTTTACATGTCAATACCAGTTCCCTCTCCCTCCCCTGCCCCCACCAACCCCTTATCCCATCCCTATTCTGCTCCCTAGGGAGGGTGAGGCCTTCCATGGGTGATCATCAGAGTATGTCATATCATTTGGAGCAGGGCCTAGGCCTTCCCCCATGTGTCTAGGCTGAATGAGTATCCCTCCATGGGGAATGGTCTCCCAAATCCAATCATACCCTAGGAATAAATAATGATCCACTACCAGAGACCCCATAGACTGCCCAGGCCTCTTAACATCCACATTCAGGGGGTCTGGGGCGGGCTTATGCTGGTTTCCCAGCTATCAGTTTGGGGTCCATGAGATCCCCCTTGAAAAAAAAATCCCACTTTTGTGTGTGTGTGTATGTGTGTGTGTGTGTATGTTAAGACAGCATAAGAGGGACTATTGGGGTGCAACTTGGGGGGAGTCAGGATATTCTGATAGTGAAGAGTGAATATAAGCAATGATATATTTGTCATAATGAAACCAATTGTCTCATGATGACTAATGAAATAATAGATGATAAGGGATGGATGGATGCATGCATGCATGCATAAATGGCTGGGTGGATGGCTGGGTGGGTGGGTGGCTGCTGAGTGGGTGGCTGGGTGGATGGATGGATAGATGGATGGATAAAACTAGAAAACAGCATTGCATCCAGAAAGAATGTTCTTGCAAACAATTTAGTCTAAGAAGCTGGTAAATCCTTTTTATTAAGAAGGGGTTGGAGAGATGGCTCAGTGGTTAAGAGCACTGACTGCTTTTGTAGAGGACCTGGTTTAGCTTTCAGCACCCAACATGGTGGTTCACAACCATCATAACTCCAGTTCCAAGAGATCTAGCACGGTCTTCTGGCCTCTGCTGGCACTCATACATTCAAGCAAAACACAGACATGAAAATAATAATTTTTAAAAGGATGCTTTGTAGAATTTCCTTTTATGTATTTTGACTCACCCAGTGGGAATTTTCTTTATGCTTACAATGTGAGTGAGTCTATTTACAGTTCTCCAGGGAGAGAAAGATGGTAACTGACTTGTGCTTTCTTCTTCCTCCCACAGTCCCACTACAGAAGCTTGGGTCCAGAGTTTCACCAAGTTCTCTTTGATTTTAGAGGTCAGAGCCCGCTAATTTTGTACTATCTTAAAATGCAAGAAATAGGTGGTATTTCCATCACTCATAAGCAAATGGGAAGTAAATTCACCAAGATACTCCGAGAGGCATATCCTTTCTAAGCTTGACTTCAAGGCATTCGGTTTCTAAGGTACTGTCTACTTTCTGTTCCAATTTTTAAACGTGTTTTGACTGACACTACATGTAGTGTTTACTTAAGCTTTGTTGACTTCTGCAGCATGTTTGGCCTAACCTTCTCCCTTTTATCATCAAGGCTGTGATTTACCATGTTCTAGATAATATGTTGTGTGCTAGGGATGTGGCCACAGCTACCTTCGGGTAGCCCATGTTATGATTTTACCAGGTCCACTAAAGAGGTAGTCTCTTTGTAACCACCCTGGCATGTCTCCTTTAGCACTTTCTAGTCTATGTCCTCAGTATCTCAAAGCTGCTGCTCACTGGCCTCTAAGGATGGCAGCATGGTCAGAGTCCACAAAGCAGGCTTCCTATGCACAGAAATAATAGAACCCACAGAAAGTGGATGTTTCTTCCCATGTCCTGAAGCATCAGGGCCATATTCCACACATAGATGAAATGCAGAGTGTTAAACCAGGGGACCTGTATCAGGTTACCTTATTCTGAGAGAGAGGAAAAGGGGTTCTCCAGGTTGTCTTTCTCCATGGAACCAGCACTTGAGGGATGTTGGCTGCTTCTCCATTGTGTGCAAGAATATTTGTCTGCATGATCCAGTCTCAAGATGACCTGAGAAAATGTCACCATAAGAGTGGAACCAAGGGAAGGGGAGAGAATGAAGCAAGGAGACATCAAGTTTCTGAGGAGAAGCCTTGTCTGTGTTACTCTGGTGACATCCCAAGGCCAAAGGGGCAAACTGGATATAGCTTTGGCTCTTGCATATCAGAGACGAAGCAAGGATCATGAGAGCATCATCAGATAAAGGCCACAGCAGATAAAGCATCATCAGACAATTTAAGTCTTGCTCTTGGTAAGGGTGCATTTCATTCTATTTTAGATGACTTTTACTTGAAGCTATTCTTCACTTCCTGGGAGGTGCTAAATTTCTTTTAGAAAACAGCCGGTTAAAATAAAAGTGGGGGTGAGGACTTTTGAAGTGAAAATCATTTTTAAGAACGTGCAGAACAGAAGGGGTTTTGTCCTGCAAGGGAGACCGAGTGCAGGCCTGTGTGCCACAGGTATTCTGTAGCCACCCGAGCCAGAAATAATTAGAAAAATGTTGGTAAGATGTGGTCCTTTCTTGTTACAAACTCAGTTTTAAGTTCTGATCGTTTTTGTTTGTTTGTTTGTTTGTTTGTTTTTTCTGTTTGCTTGAAAAAAAAGCAAAACACCACAATTTGACAACTAGTTGTTACTCTCTGATGGTGAAATACAAGAGTGCAGTCGCTTTAGGTGATTAGGTTGGATCATTGACTTCTTAGACACATGTTGGATTTTGGATTAATAAACAGGTTATCATAGTGGTGGGGGGAGGGAAACTGCCAGCATGGCCACTCTATTAGGGGCAAGGTTTTTATTGTGGGCAAGAGAGAGAAAATACCCAGAGTCCAGTGCAAAGAGAAAAGAAAACAGAGTAGACATGGCCAGGACTATTGAAGCCGGAGAGAGGGATAGCAAGAGAGATGGGAACGAGCAGGAGAGCAAAGAACAGAAAGAGGCGAGGCAGTGCTGGTGGACAAATCATGCAGATTATAAGGGGGAAGAGTAGCTAGGGGGAGCGATTCCTTTGGGGGATGAACAACCCAGTTCACAAGTTCCTGAGGTATGGTAGTGTTTATCTAACTACCAGAAAATCCTAGTCCAGCTTGAGCTCATCTCTCGGTATATGGAGGGCCTGAGACCTACCAGCTGCACTGTCTCTCGGTGTCTCAATGAGAAAATTAGGGTGACAAGAGAGACATTCTCATCCTGGAAACTTACTCATAGTTTTGCTATGTATTTTTAATTCAGGAAACATAATTAAACGGCTGGATATGGTGGCACATGCCTATACTCTTAGCACTGGGAAGGCAGAGGCAGTGAGGGAATACAGGTTTCAGGCCAGCTACCCAGAGAGGAAAGGAGAGGAGAGGGGAGGGGAAGGGAGGGGGAGAGGAGGGGGAGGGGAAGTGGGGAGGAGAAGGGAAGGGACCGGAAGGAGGAAAGAAGGAAGGGAGCATAACAAATCCTGGTTTATATTAAGCAAGTAAACACTTTTTGAATGGTTCCCTGACTTTCCTCTGCCCAGGAATGGCTGTAAGTGCCAAGGCCCTATCACATAGCTGGGTCCAGGGGTGCAGCTCTGCCTACTTGCTTAGCATGTATAAGGCCCTGGGTCCCATACCCGACCTACAAAAAAACAAGCAAACAAAAAACTTGCAAGTGGAAAAGTCAAACTTTTTAAGTGCTTGGAGGTTAGGAATGTAATAAATCCCCAACACACAAAGCCACTCCATAATAATCACATTCCCGGCAAACTTTCTCTCTTTTTTTCTTTTCATTTTCTTTTTTGGCTTGTTTGAGGCAGGGTTTCCTGTAGCGCAGGCCAGCGGGGCACACACTCATTTGTTGCTGGTCTGTGAACTCTGAGAACAGTCTGAGCATTTCTTCTGAGGGGGGGGGGGGTCTTAAACACAAGATTTCTGGAACCCAGGGAGACTTTAAAATACTCAAAAATGTATGAATTTAGGTGAATTCATGTCACTTTCCTATTATATATTTTTTTCTTTCTCCAAAATGGCAAGTTATACTTCTTGCTTCAAACAGCCACATCACAGTCAGAAGAATAGCATTTAGTTTTATTTGTTCTGGGAATGTTTGTTTTGTTTTTGGTGTTTGGAGCTTCTTTCCCCTCCTCTTATTTTTATAGGTTTCATCCCAGGGTGACCGTTCCTCCTCTGTAAGTGGCTTCAGCAAGTGTCCTGTTACCCCACCTACTCCTCCAAGCTTGTGTCTTCATACTCAGAGTGCTCCTGGAATCACTGTCTTCCTCTGCAGGCTGGCATTCACAGTTGCTGGCTGAAACAGAGAGCCCCTGACTCACCCTGTGCTTTCTCTTTTTTGTGGTGGTGCTTTCTTTCCATTTGGTGTGAGGTTTCACACAGGACTCCTCAACTGTAGCCTCAAAAGCTGAACTCTCCATTCCCAGCAAGCACCCATGAAATCGCTCCAGGGCTGTGGGCTGGGACAGTTGTGAAGCAGTTATGTCTGAGAAGCAGCTGCCACTTGCTTCGATGCCCCAGCTTACCATGGAGCAAAGGCAGCGGATCATCTCCCTGTTTCCTGGGCCCTGGGACCCTCATCAGGGACTTGGAAAGAATGAGGAAAAGACAGATACACAGACACATGGACAGGAAGCCTGGGGTCAGGTGGGGGTGTGCTCACTCTGATGAAGTAGCTCTAATACTGTGGCCACCTGGACCCTGGGTACATTATTAGGCACAGCACAGGGCAGGGGCATTGGCTGCTCTCTATAGGAGGTCTCTGTAGGCCAGCAGTCTCAGGCTGTAAACAAGAGAGAAGGAAGGCCAGGTGCTAGCTTTGTACACAGGGTCACTCCCTCACACACAGACCACTGAGGAAACCTTTGCCATCCCTCTGAGCTTTGCTGCAGCTGAGGCTGAGAGTGTGGCCATGGCTATACCCAGGTTAACACTATGCATTCACTCAGGACTTCATTTGACCAGGTTTCTACTGCTCCCCACATCTCCTCAGAAATCTGAGTACCCAAGACCAAAGGACTTTAATTGGATTAGCTGTCAAAAAAAAAAAAAAAAAAAAAAAAAAAACGGGGGGGGGGGGAGATTGGAAGATTGGTAAACAGTCAGTGAGTAGCCTAAGTGTACTTTCTTACTTGGTAGTGACTTTGGCAATTAGGGGACATTTGTCAATGAATGTCTAGAGACACTCCCTCTGGATATCAAATGGGCTCTTAAATACCCTGCTGTGTATAGGGCAGCTCTATACCCAGTTACCCTGACTAGACATGGGTGAGGTATGATGAAGAAGCCCTGGTACACAGGGCTAGGCCTGGGAAACTTCCCCAAGCATGAAGGGAAAATTGTCCCATAAGTGGTCAAGTGTACAGGCATAAACACAAGTGTGCAGGCATAAACACATAGCAACAACTACAGATTACAAACTACCTAACAAGAAAACAATACTCAAGAGGCTCTGTGCAGAAAAGCCTGATGATGACCACAATTCAATGTCCCGACCAACTGGGGAAGGAAAAAGCCAAAGCCTGACAGCCACCTGTGCATGATGGCACACACACACACACACACACACACACACACACACACCACATCTCTCTCTCACACACACATCACACATATACATATATTACACACATGCATACACATCATATCTCACACATACACATGACAAATATCACATACACACACACATCACACATACCATACATCACACACACATTATATCTCACACATAAACATCACAAACATCACCCACACACATCACACATACCACATGTCACACACATGTACACAATAATTTTTAAAATGAGAGAACATTTGTTATCATTCTGAGATTCTCCCTCGGATTCTTGAACTACAGTAGAAGGTCACTGTAGCCAGAAGAGTGCTCCATCCTCATAGGACACTGATCAGAACAAAGGGAGGAGGTGACCACTCAGGATCAGTGAAAACTTGAGAAGCACAGGGCATTACTGTTCTTTGTTTTACTGTGTCCTTTGTTTTACATAGTGACACTTTTGATTTGTGTATTGCTTTCTGATGCATGTGTCAACTCAATTCTATGGCTTAATGAAAGAAAAGCTTTACAGCCAGGTATGATAGCACACACCTTTAGTCCCAGCACTCAGGAGCAGAGGCAGGTGGATCGCTGTGAGTTTGAGGCCAGTCTGGTCTACAGAGCAATTTCCAGGACAGCCAGACTGCAAAAAAGAAAGGAGGAAGGTAGGAAGGTCAGGAAGGGAAGGGGAGGGAAAGGGAGAGGGGAGAAGAGAGGAGGAGATCTTTACATTAGGAAGAGGGGAGGAGAGGGAGAGGGAGGGAGGAAGGAGAGAGAGAGAGAGAGAGAGAGAGAGAGAGAGAGAGAGAGAGAGAGAGAGAGAGGGAGGGAGGGAGGGAGAGAGAGAGATTTTTATATTAGGAAGGATTTTTACTGGGGCAGTCTCTACTTTTCCATCACAGCCATCAGCACCATGGTCCTGTTGTCTCATGGCTGCCTGCCATGTCTTGAAATAATCCATAGAAGACTGTCTGAGCCTCAGTTTCCTCATTTAAAATTGGACCCACAGCTTCTGTGATCCACTTTTTCCTGCTAAATGGAGAGTATGGACTCCAGGCTCTGACTGAGGTCTCTAGGATATCTCAAGTCTTGGTTTGGAACAGCAAAACCATAGCTGTTGTGACATTCAGAAGAGAATAATTTTATTTGTCCCCAAATGGCTCCTGCTCCACGTAATGGCTTACTATGTACCCTTGGAGCCTTGCATGGGATTCAAGGCCAATTCAGACAGGAGAACTGGACAAGCCTGTTGCCACAGCTTTCCCGGAGGGGCAGAAAATGGCCATTATTCATAATTTACTGCTTTTAAGTACTGTATATTTCTTCAGCTGGGATAAAATCATGGCTTTAAGTGTCTGAAGAGAATAAAAATTAGGACAGTCATTAACACACATTAACAAAAGTCTACTGAAAAACTGTTGCTGTTAAGTAATACAAGAGAACACCAAAATCCTCATCAATACCAGCATAATATGATCCAAAACAACACTGTACAGAACAATGAACAACAAGGACCAAGTTTTGTATATAATTAGAGTGTCTTTATGAAGAACTTATATCTGGCCCATTTCAATAAAGCCATATATTCAAACTTGAACTCTTTTTAGGAACTGAAGCATTACTCTATTTCAGTACCAATACTATTTTCTTGAAAACCCAAATCTCCTAAAATGCAACACAAATCATCTCACAGAACTTAACCCATGGAAGCCATACTCAGAACACAGCAGAACTGTAGAAAGGGACAAAACCTAACCTCTAACCAGTATTCCAGGGTGTAAGGAGTACAGGTTTTTCCTCCTGCCACCGCTGGTCTTGTCCCGCCGCCGCGCCAGAGACTCTGTATTTGATATTATGCTGTTGGCCAGGTGCTAGTTTCTTATCGGCTAGCTCTGTCTTAATTATTAACCCATTTCTATGTATTTCCACGTGGTCTTACCGAGAGCGGAGGAATGGCGGTTCTCTTCTCTCCAGGCTCTCCATCCTGACTCCTCCTTACTACTTCCTCTTCCTCCTTGTCTCCTAGTCCCTCCTATCCTCCTTTCCTATTGGCCAACAGTGCTTTATTCATTAGCCAGTATGAGAAACATATATACAGAATGACATCTCCCATCATCTCCTCTTTTCTGTCTAAATAAAAAGAAGGGTTTTAACCTTAACATAGCAAAATATATAACACAACAGTTATCAAATAAGAATCACAGTTAACAATATTTAGTCCATTAACATTTAGCAAGATTAAAAGAAACTATTCTATCATCTATCCTATATTTGTGAGTCTAAAATCATATAGGTAACTTATCTTTAAGGTTAACTAAGGAAAACTATAACCATAACTATCTGTCTTCAACTCCATCGAAGACCACAGAAGGATAATATATAAATTCTAGAAATGACAGAGACAACTCACTGCCTGGTCACCCGAAGTTCTTTTGTAATCTTCCATCTTCAGCCCATAGACCATAGTGTGTCTAGCAGACTCTTCAGCAAAGCAGGGAACTTTAAACTGTCTTTTTGTATTGGCAGTTTGTCAGTCACTTTTCTCTGTGTCCTGCAGACTGTCTGGCAGACTCTTCCATGAAGCAGGAACCCTGTAGCAATGTCCATCTTGAATCAGCAATCACTTTTCTGTGGGTCCTGCATGTCCAGTTTATATAGCACAAAGTCAAACAGTCCAGACAAGAGCAGTATCTTGTCCAAATGGCTAGTCTTGCCATATTGGAAGCAAATTCTATAACAAGTTTCTTTAATGTCCATCTTCCTTTCTGACGCAGGTGGTGTTGCCAGGAGCATTTATATCTCACTGTCAAGAAAAACCCTAAACCATTTTAAATGCCATATTCTGTAGGTCTTTGAAAGGTTTGAAGAATTCCTATCTATCTCAAATACATCTCTGCATATCTAGAAAACCTAACTCACCTAGCTATAAGTTTTGACTATTATAGGTAACTATCTAAAATCTGTACTAAATTATACATTACATTTTTAAATGAACTATATAAACACAATACCTAAACAAAAGGAGAAATATACATATCATAAAATTGACCTTAAATTGTATCAATAAATGAAAATCCATTCCAAAACAAAGTATTCACATCTATATCATAATCCCCTTTTTACTTTTAAAAAAGATATTGGTTGTGATCATTTACCATTTATTACTAAGTTCATTTAAATGAAAACAAACATTTATAAACACTATTTGGGAATTTGGGCTTTGTTCTTTCCAAACTACTTCCTGCTGGTAAAGGGCGCTGTCATGGGGGAATCTTAAGAAGATGAAGAAATCCTGGTTGTAGTCTGCAAGGCTGCCTTGTTCAAGTTGTCTTGAATGTTAAATCACCAGGAACACTGTTTCAGGGGGTCTGGCCTGCTCAAACCGCATTAGTCTGGAAGGAATCCATAGCTTTTTATTTTCTGTGGAAACAAAAATAGAAATCCTTTTCCCCAGTAACTTGTCCTTGAACTTAAATTTTTGAGTCAAAGCATTTTTAAAATATATAAATTTAATTAATCCAGCAGCATTTCCTTCAACAGTTGTTGTTCCTAAAATGCAACACAAATCATCTCACAGAACTTCACCCATGGAAGCCATACTCAGAACACAGCAGAACTGTAGAAAGGGACAAAACCTAACCTCTAACCAGTATTCTAGGGGATTGATTAAATAACAGTAGGAAATGGTTACATTCCAAATTGAGTATTTTAGCAAGATCCATCTCTACCTGGAAAAGCATGCCATTATATTCCAATCCCCCTTCCACAATGATAGAACTTTTTGCAGCTTTTCCCCAGAAAAGCCAATGCTTTTGATGCATTAATGTGGCAGAGCGCCCCAGGCAGCAGATACAACCTGATGATTTTAGGTTCTCTGTCTGGGACTGGGGGATTACTCTGGGCTGGGGGAAGGTTTGGTTGATCTGGGATTACAGGATCCTTGTTCAGGTAGGAAGTGAGACAACCACCTTTTCCCTACCTAATGTGCCTGCCCTAGCTCCCAGCTAACCTAAAACAGTAAGCACGCATGCCTCCGTCGCTTGGCTCTTGGGCAGGACAACATGTGTGCTCCTATAACAAGATACAACATCTGGACCTCAGTGCATCTCAGATACAGGCCCTCGGTGAATGGTTTTACAGACATTAAAATAGTTCCTTCAGCAGAGCACAGTGGTACATACCTGAAGTGCCAGCTTCTTGGAGAGTGAGATGGGAAGATCACCTGAGCCCACAAGTTCAAAACCAGCCTGGCAGCATCTAGACAGCAAAATGCAACAAGTCTTGTCCATCTACAGCAGTTATCACAGGCCAGTATGTGTGGAAAATATGTGACACCACCTTTGCAAGATGCCAACAATTGTGCTAAAATAATGTGAGACAGAAGTACACAGGACAGATGTGACATGGGGAAGGGGAAATGATGTCAGCCTGGAGAATATAGGGATACGGGGGAGTTTTGTCTTTTGATTATGTTAATGTTTTCATGATATCTGCACATTAACATTTTATGGTTTTGAGGCAAAGTCTTGATATGTAAGCCAGGCTAGCCTGGAACTTGTGATCTCAGATTTCCCACCTGTTGGGATTAGGTTAACTGAGCATTTACACTGATTGGCAGAAGCCAGGTTATTTGGGTGTCTACACTGAAGGATGGTTACCCCCTGAGCCTCCTAGAAGAGACTTTGAAGTTCTCAGTAGATTGCAAAGTAAGTACTTAAACAAGATTACAAAATTGGGGTGGAATTTTAATGCTTACTAAAAACTTGACAAATTTCTGTTTTTAAAACACACACACAATAACAATACAAGACTTATAAAGCTTTTCATTAAAATGCCTAGGGAAACAAGCTTAAAGAAGCTGAAAAGTGGCCTGTACTCTTCAGCTGTCCATCACAACAGACAAGGCATTCACATTTACAAGAAAGGAAACCCAGGCCAGGGGGTTCCCCACAGTTTCCTTGAGAAGGGTCCCATTTACCTTTCCCAAATATTCCTAACTGGAAATCGTTCCTTGACTATAAGCCCAGCACACCGCCTGCTCCAACATACTGTGAGATCATCAAGGAGGCCAAAAGGAAATTTGCAATGAACCAAAAGGACTTTAGGAGGTAAGTCGGAGCAGCACTGTGGCTTTAAAATACCATGATTTAGTAACCAGAAGTGATAGTAGAGATTGCCTGAACTTGATCTCTACTGGTGAAGAGGTTTCTTGTTTAACAACTTCTAGATTCCCAGATTCTTTTCTCATGTCAATTGTCTGTGAAGTAATCATGGAGCCTGATGGCTATCAGGGACTAGATGCATGGGAAGCCTTCCTGTAGGGTATGCCCCAACACAGGAAGAGCAGACTGACAAGCCATAGAGACTGGAGCATCCCACTTTACAAAGAGAGACTTGGAAAGCAAGAAGGCTGTGAGCCATGGAAACAGCATCTGGAACCAGGGTGGTAGCTGGGTGGTATCGAAGAGACCAAGACAGGGCAAACTCTTGGAAAATATTTTCTCAGAGAACATTTTCTGCTTGTGCTTGATCTAAGTGATCGCTACTGGGCAGTCATGACACTTTTATGTGCTAGAGAGTTAGGAATGGGCTATGCAAGGATGCCCATGAATTTTTACAAGAAAAAATCTGGCATGATACACTTCATGATGTCAAGGTAACTGTCTAAAGACTGTTGGCTTTGGAAGAAGGAAGGACCAGACCCAGCCTTGGGAATTCAGTGCTACTCAGGGGCAGGAAGATAAAGGAGCAGCCAGTGTGGTCCTACCCAGCATGCAAAACACTCTGTGCTCCTCTCCTTATGTGCTCCCATCACCACCCACCCCCACTGCAAGCATCCCTACATAGTGGGAAGAGGTGCTAGTCAGCCCTGATAGAAGCAGTGAGATGTTGTCCCAGGTCACACCAGGTGTCCTGCAGCCAGCATTGCTGGCACATGTTTCTAAAAGGGAATGTGGAGAGGGTTTAGCACAGCAGTCAGTCCCTCAGAAACAAAGGGCTTATTGCTGTATTCCTCCCCATGTAGGATAGGCTGCTTTATTTTTAAATGTTAACTCTAAATGTTGATAGCATTTTAATTTATATTTTACAGAGCAAAGCAGCGAATCAAAGAAGATATTAGGTTCCTGAAAGAGAAACAGGAAAAAATTGACAAGGAGCTTGACAGGTTTGTCTCACACTCAACTCTGTAGTGCTTAAGTCACTTTTAATTGACATACACATTCACAGGAAACCACAGTCGGTTTGTTGTATAAATATATATTTATTAAGTATCTGCAAAGAGTTATATCCTACTTAACAGTCCATCAATAGATTGGTTCTCAACCTTCCCAATGCCACAACCCTTTAATACAGTTCCTTATGTTGTGGTGACCACCAACCATAAAATTATTTCCATTGCTGCTTCATAACTGTAATGTTGCTACTGTTATGAACCCTGATGTACAATTCTTTGTTTTTCATTGGCCTTAGGCAACCTGGGGGCTGTAAACCAGGGGCTGAGCACCATAAACCTAAAACAACCCACTAACTTCCCCCTCCCCTTTTTATTAAATCACCTCCTGCCAACTTAATTCATTGCTAAACATTATGATTGTCTGTTTTGCTTCAGCCATAGGACTTAGTCTATAAGTATGCCCTGCCTGCAAAAGACATAAACTAGAAAACAGTCCTTCTGCTGGCCTCTCAGGGAGTGCAGCCTTCTGTCACTGCTGTCCTCACTACGTCCACACATGCAAACATGTTTCCCCAATGGAGTAGGAATAATTTGGCTGATATTCTTTTTATAAACTGAGGTATAAAATGAGAAGTACAAAGAGTTGAGGTGAACTGACTTCCTCCACTCAATGCAGCCCTTTAAGCCCCTTTGAGAGATTGGAGCTTGGCCAGTCTCTGTAAAAGTTCTGCATTCCCTCTCACCAGAGAAAATCCAACCCAACACTGCTTTTAAATCTAATCTTACCCCTCATCACAAAACAAACCCTATCAGCTACCATCCCCATTTGCAGCCCCTAAATTAGGACATCAGATTCCCAGAGACTCAAAACAGAGCCAGCAGGGACAGATTCTGTGCAAACATGGAAGGTGGATCTAAATCTGCATATCACACAGGAGAAAGGGGAGGTGGAAATGCTCTTGTGCATGGATGACCCATACACTAGTTACAGGAACAGGCCCACCATATTACCCTCCACAGATAGTTAGGGTAGTCATAAAACTTTATGAATATACACAACTCTTGAATTGTACGTTATAAATTGTGATTTTAGGCTATGTGACCTATATCCCCATAAGACCAGGAAGCATAAATGAGTAGATGTTAACAAAATGAAGTACAACGGAGTCCAAGATTAACGAACAACTCAAGGGGTGCACAAGAGAAAGGGCTTGGGGTTTGGGAACTGCTGCCTCCTGCTACGTCAACTGTAGTATTTCTTAATTAAGTAGTCTTGACTAAAACCCTGTAAGATCCCTGGGATCCTTCCTCAAGGAACTTGGCCTAGTATACACCCTTGAGCAAGTGCCCCTTGGCCATCTCATCATCCCCTATGCCATTGTGTATAGCCCCCACAAGATCTGGGCAGTGGAGGAAGTTAGAGTAATACTATGTGATGGGTCTAATTGAAGGGCATGCTCTTCCACGGAGGTGATAGTCACAAGGTGGTAGGAACTAAGGCCTCAAGGAAATGCTTGGATTAAAATCATCTGCTTTCTAGCCTCTTGTGTGTGAGGCAGTGACAGCAATGTTGCCTGTTTCCTCATTGATAAAAAGGATAAAAGTTATCCCTGCTCACTTCAGTTGTAATGAGATAGCTGCATTAATACATGTAATGGGCCAGCAAGAGCACAGCACATTCAGTCTTTGCAAACACTGGCTGGGAGATGCATATGAACTGTTCCTTTGCTCAAGTGGTTTTCTTTATTCCATTAGGCTCCAAGCAAAGGCTTCCAAAAACATCCAAGAAGTCAAAGTAGAGTTTGAGAATTTTATGCATAAAATGGTATGTTTCCCTCCTGGAAATAATTGAGAGTTCTCTCCACAGTTTCTTTTCTCCAGACTTCACAATGTTTCATAAGCAATGCATGGTTACACCCAAGCTGGCAGAAACAACACATTCTTATCATTGACTATCCACTACAAAGGGGAGACAATCCATTCTTAAGTGTGGTGATAACCTCATGCCCACTGTCCTCATGCCTTGCTTCTAAAAACAGTCCCCAGGACAGTTTCTGTAACTAAGACCCATAAAGTGCAATTGGGTAAGCTATATGATGCCATCGGGCATGTGAAATGAATACCCCCTGCCCTCAGCTCACCCAAATGAAAGGGAGACTTTGGCATGACTCCAAACAGAGCTCAGATGTGTTTCCTTTGGTCCTTTCTTTTCTGCTCCTTCAAACCTTCTGAGCAGTTCTGTTAGAACTGGAGATCTTGCTTTCCACAGGACAAAAACATGTAGATACCAGCATGCATGAAACTAGCAGGCTGGACTACTTGAGACCAGGGATGGAGGATTCTGGCATGAAAGGTTTCCCTCTGCATTCCACACTTCAGAGCTATCCCATTACCTATGGGTCCAATACCAAAACTGGGACAAGCAGGATTCTTATACAGAGAGGTGCTAGAAAGCCACAAAACACTCGAGTGTTTCTATTAGACACACAAGATCATTGCTTTTGTTTTTGTTGTTCTTGCGCATTGTTCCTTATTCCTATCTCTTGATGTATTTCCTAATATTGAATAGAGCCATGAGCATTTATCACAGTGCACTTGTGCAGGAAAAGGCAAACCCTGAAACAAACTGTGGAAGCCAGCAGCTGACACTACAGCTACTACCTCAGCCTCCTTCACTGTTACCTGCAGAAATTAATCTTCTATCAGCCTCTCATCAGTAATCCAGACTCTTGTACAAAATTTCCAGACTTAGCGCCCACATTTTCAAATGCTAATAGGACAAACTAAATACATTTGCAGGCCAGATGTGGCCTGTTTTGCTGGACTGAATGCTGCCTGGTCCAGCCAGTGCAGCTGACATGATGCTTCAATGCATTTTAAGGCCAGAGCCTTCCACACACCCAGAGTCTGCAGGCTATACTCATGCTCTATTGGTTTGCACTGCCTACACTAGCTTTCAAATTCTAGCCATTCTTTAGTATCACACTCAAACTCCATTACTTTATAAGCCTTATGCCCTTAGTCCTATCCCAATTTTTCAAGGAAGAGCTGGATATGCCTCACAACTTCTAGAACACCAGTTGCTGAACTTAGGTTCAAAGCAGTTCTTAACAGATAGCCAAATCAGAGTAGAATAGTTTCAGTGGACTCTGCCTCCCTAAAGACAAAACACTGAGAATGACTCTGTCCCCTAATAGAGGTGTACATATCGAACACTTAGAAACCGCATCCCCATGGAGGTGCACACTGAACTGTGGTCATAGTTGCTTATGATTTATTAAAGCCACTGGAGATCAAAATAGCAAAGTAACCATACTTGTTAGCCTTAGAAGCCAGGCACACACCTTTAATCCCAGGACACAGGAAACAAAGGCAGATGGATCTCTGAGTTCAAAGCCATCCAGAACTACACAAGAATGAATCAGTCTAAAGCTCATGCCTTTAATCCCAGCTCTAGAGATGCGTATAAAAGACAGGAGCCCACTGTCTTGGACTGCATTCTGAGGGTAGTCTCTAGCCATGTTGAGGAGAGCATAGCAGTCTGAGAGAATCTGGGAAGCAGTGAAGTTGGGAGCAGTCTGAGGATGGCCCCTTCAGTCTGAGGTAGAGGTAAGAGCTAGTGGTTGACTGCTTTGCTTCTCTGATCTTCAGGCAAGCTCTAATAAATCATAAATAATATATCAACACACTGAACTCTTAGAATGACTTAGAATGAGTGTGTCCCCGTAGAGGTGTGCACACTGATTAGTTAAAATTACTGAACAGTTCCCTCATCTTCCTAAGAAGGAATTCCATGGTGAAAATCATTAAATGGACTAACAACAGTCCATTTCATTTTAAACCAACCACAAATTATTTCTAGGGATTCAGGCCACTAAAAAATGCAACATTGTAAACAAATTAGGTTCTTAGATTACTGTGCTAAGAGGACTCAAAATTCTTTCAACAAAATGGATACAAGGTTGTCCATGTATTTAGAGAGAACTGTGTCAGGAGTTGGTTTTAGGATGGATCTTGGTTTCCTAGTGACTTGTTCTTTAAGACATTCTACAGCCTGCCTAGATCTTTTAGAAACAGGCAGCTGATGAAACCCAGGCATTGAATGCTGGCTAATGAGCCAATATAACCATATGAAACAAAAACTGTGATGATATTCTGGATAATTCCAACCACAATACAACTGTTGTCTCTATCGCAGGAATATTTCAGCCAACCCACTTTGGTCTAGGCACTCTACAATGTAACTTAGAAAGGGCTTCTGGGAGTCTGCCACTGGCATGTCACCTCATGACCAGACACTTCTGCCCACTCTTGATAAGTGACCTAAATCCTCACTCCACCACTGGCAATGTCAATTACACTCTAGGCTTCTGTACTCACCCACACCTACATAACTCACATCTACCCTACACTGGACCAGGGACATAAGCAAGCCTTGCCAGGCATCTAGAAGAGGGGTTGAGGTATGGGAGGGGCTGCCAGAATAGGCATGTCTCTTGGATTGGAAAGGCATTTGAGAAATGGAAGTATGAGTGAAAGAAAGTCAATTCAAATTGTCTTCTGAAATCTACCTTTTGCCCCCACTCCCAAACTGATCTGCTCCATCTTCATAGATATAGGAATCTTACATTCAAGTATACTGTGTTTGTCTAGGAATATTTACAAATCCTTAACCATGTACTCTGTTCATAGCGTGTTGAGGATAAACTCAAGGAGGAATTTAGAACATCATCAACATCACTATCCTCAGAGTCACCACAGTCGCCACAGTCATCACACTCATCATCATCTTCATCCACTGCCGTGTCAGAAGACATCAACGATGTGGAAGAGGGCTAAGGGGAGCCAGCAGTGGCCACCATTCAAGAACAACACATAAAGTTCAGCTGCATCAGTTTAATTATAGCAGTATTCAATTAAATGTACCTTTTGCCATTCATCTTTAAAATCTTTAAATCAATAAATCTTCGTCATACTTTAGAGATCTATCTAAGCATATCCTTGGCTCTGATTCATAAAAACATATTTAAGAGAGAAAAGTAGTCATTATGAAGCATAGCTTTCACCGTTTCTTTGGAAATGCATCTTGATAATAGCAACCATTCCTCACAACAAAACAGAAAAGGGACTGATTTACTGTAGCTCAGGATGTCTCGCCAGCTCCTAAATGCCCCAAATAGTTTCTCCGAGATGTTTTACGTTGTTTAGGCCTCAAGGAAAACCAAGGCCCCACCTCCAGGTTTGGTAGCAAACAAGCTGTACTTCTCCAGAGCCAAGCTGGAACTGTTCCTCTGGTAATAAGCTTCATGCACGTTTGTGAGGAAGCTGGACAGCACATCAGCAGGCACTATCGACACAGTGCATCCTCCCCATCCTGCTCCAGTTAGTCGTGAACCTTTGGCCCCAAACTTCCTAAAACAATGAGAAGACACATTATCACCTATAAACAAAGACAAGGGCAGTTTGCCTGTTACAGAACACATCTCCTTCCCAGATTCTATGAAGAGAGTGGTGGTGGTGGTGGTGTGTGTGTGTGGGGGGGGGGTTATCAGGGATTTCAAGACTTAAATATATATGTTCAGAAGATGACAGTGTCTGCCACCCAAGCAGACACATAAAAATTGGGCACTATAACCCCAGCATTCAGCACTGGCTAGAAGAGGTACAGGGAGGCAGGCCCCTGAAACTCAGTAGTCAGCTAGTCTAGCAGAATTGTGAGCTCTAAGTTCAGGAGAGACTGTCAAAAAATAACATAGGAAAACATTTTTAAAAACATATAAGATGGAGAACTATAAACAAAGCCAACCTTTTGCCTTTACACATATGTACACATATATGAATGTGCCTCTACACATGCACACACACATAAGAAATCTAAATTGAATATAATTTACAATTTTTTTTCAGTTCTCAGGACTGAGACACTTTTTAGGGATATCTGATGCTATTCCTTGGTATTGAAGGTAAATAACAAGTAATAACAGTTCTCACTGAAAGGTCTGGAACTTCCCACTGTAGGCTCGACCACATAGAGTCACACAGCAGCTGCTTGTAAACTTGTGTAACTTGTGTAACTAATCTCCAGTTAATCAGGAAGGGAAGTAAAAAGAAGGTGGGCAGTAGACATGAGTGCCACAAGGAATCAGAACATCACCTCAAAAGAGGGTAAATCAAAATCAGGATGTAGGGCATAATATCCTCCGTAAGTTTCAGACGCATTCTGTTTTGTTGTGGAGATAGAGGAGGTATGCATGTGTACACGGTCCTGTGTGTGCATATGTCCAGGTATACAAGCGCCTGGTGTCCAGAGGTCAACATCTGGTACCTCCCTCCATGGTTCTCTACTATATTTTTGAATATAGGGTCTCTTACTGACCCTGAAGCTCATTGATTCCTCAAAGCCAGCTGGCCTGAAAGCCCGAGAGGTCTTTGGGCTTGGAAGAACAATGCGAAGATTTGAGGTGTGTGTTCCTATAACTGCCGACCCGGCTCCTCATGATCGCACAGCAAGCACATTACTGACAGAGCCATCTCCAGCTCTCAGTTGTGTTCCTAAGGTTATCCATTTTACATACCGAATTCAGACTGTAGGGCTAAGGTCTGGGCATGTAGCTCAGTGGTAGAAGGCTTGCCTAACACGTATGAAATCTGGGTTCAAAACCCAATGCCACAGTATGTGGGGGGAGAACAGCCTAGGTTTATTCTTCATAAATTTCTTAACCCAGAACCAACTCTAGGCTGGTTGGTTGGTTGATTGGTTGTTTGGTTTGCCTAATGACTAATGGAAAATTATGCAAACCTTCCCACAAAGTTGGTGGTGTAGAGGTGCATCTCATCTTCCCTGCACTTTCAGGGACTGAGCTAACAAGTGGACCCAGCTTTGCCAACAGTGAGATAGATGCTCACACTGAGAGGGAAACAACACTATAAAACCACCATGTTGCCAGAAATTGTTGTACACACCATCCAAACATATTTCCAATTAATTTTTCCTAATGAAACTTACTCCAAATTAGTAATATATTTAAAACTTCATAATTAATTTAGCCCAGTTCTGTCCCCTTTCCCCTCTACTTCCTGGAAAACATCAATAGAATAAATAGAACATTACCCCTCCTCCAGGAGATCAGGGTTACTATGTATCAGCTACTCACTTCTCCCTCAGTGATGCTCTCCAGTGATAGCATCATCTGTTGTATTCAAGTAAGTTTCCTTAAATGTGAAAAAAGTGCTTACCAACCATAAAAGATTGCCAATCTTCTGACGGCCCTCACCTAGCAGCCTCCTAGCTGAATTAGGCCCAAACTCCTATCATTGGGCTGAAAAGTTGCTTTACTCATGAGACTCTAGAAGCTAGAAAAGGGCTTGTTTGTAGTTTCTTGATTGAAAGGGAGGAACTTGGCCATTAGTGGCCATCAAACACGATCATAGCTGAAGAAGCTGGGAGAAATGGGAGACTCCTTGAAGCATCTCAGAAAGAGCCTTAAAGACAACCACAGCCTGGTCTAGATGACAGTGGGCCTACTTAATGTTCTATGAGCATAATCCACCAGGCCTTTAACTGCCTTCCATGGGCCTTTTCATACACTTATGATTTGAACAGTTTGAGCAGAGTGGTGGTGCACACATGGGAGGCAGAGGATAGATGACTACAGAAAGCTTGCATCTAACCTATTTCAGGACAGGAATATAAAGTAAGAGCCTGTCTCGAAACATTAAAAAAAGAAAGAAAGAAAGAAAAAGATATGATTTCAAAACAGTATTATTTCTGATCTAGCTGCAAGAGATGCAATCCATTTTCCAAAACTATCTATCAGCTCACACTGAGCAGAGGCTAAGAGGAGACCTCTAGGCAAATTGATTTGCATCTGAATGTTCAGACTGCTCTGTGGCCACCCTGCCTGCTGCAGAAGAGCATGGGCTACACTGCATCAGCCCAAGTTGCAGAATCATCAGAGCTCAAGATTTTCATTTGCTCTCTCTCTCTCTCTCTCTTTAGACAGAAAAAAACAAGGAATTGAGTGGGAGGAGATGTGGGGAGGTCTGTGAGGAGTTGGGAGAAAGGAAATACATATCAAGATATGCCATATGAAAAAATTAAAAAAGAAAAAATAAATGCTATCGAAAATAGCCTTCTGTCCACAGTCAACAGCATGTGTTCACAGACCAGACGTTGCTGTGTCAGTAGTCAGCAGTCTGCCTTGTTCAGCTACACACACACACACACACACACACACACACACACACACACAGAGAGAGAGAGAGAGAGAGAGAGAGAGAGAGAGAGAGAGAGAGCGGAGGGGGGGAGTGGGGGGAGCTACAAGTCTTAACTTCAGTGTTTCCCACTGGTCCTTAATGTGTCCTTTGCATATGTCTTTGAAACTACAAGGAAGGTCTAAAGTTGGCACACCAACAAAGGTGTTAAATCAAAAAGGAAATACATACTAGTCAAAACATCTTACATTTGAACTTCTGAGAAAATAGTGAAAAACTAAAACTATATCTCCTTCACTATAGCATATCAGAGAAGAAACAGGAGAATTGCAAGAAACAACCCTAAAGTCTCACACATGCCATTGTGGAGATGATGGGATGGTACAAAAAGGACTCCAAACATCAACATGGCACAGGAAAGGGTTAGTAGAAAACCCATAGCTGACTGCTGGCCTGTTACAGTCGACCCTGATGTTCTGCTTTTAGTGAATCTGGATCATCAAAAAGCTTTGACTGGGGTGTAAAGCACAGGGCAACAAGCGGCAGGGGACAGAAAGACCCGACTGTTACAAACTAGAAAGAGAGAAAACTGCAAATTATGCCTTGCATCTCAATTCATTTTCAAATATTTGTGTTTTATACAAATGGGTCTGAATTGCTTGAGGAAGCTGGAATGGAGAGACAATTCACACCCATCTCTGCTCAGGACAGGCACCCCTCTAGGTTTTTGGCAGGTTATAATCCATGCAGCTGGATTCCTGTTTTAAAATACAGATATTATGTTAGGTAAATACGAGCAATGTGTAGTGTCTCCTTCACTCCAAAGAGTTCCAGTTTCTTTTCATTGGGAACTGGCAAGAATATCAGGAAAATAAACCCTCTACACGTTTTTAAAGTTAGACTGCAGACAACATTTCCAGCCTTCCCGTGCTGCTGAAGGAGGAAGGAATGAGAAAACACTCTGCCTTTCAGAGTGTGGGGCACCAAAGAGAAGCAAGGCTTTGTTTGAACCAACAGAGTATAGTATATCGGTATTCCTCAAACTCCTTCCCGGGGGAAATTAAGCAGCATCCACCCTCTTCCCAAGGTCCCAACAACAAACAGGTATGATTTCTCCAGCGCTCACCTGGTGGGAGGCAATCAGCAAGTTTTTTGGGCTTCTTTATATGGCACCGGTAAGGGACTACCTACCGGGATGTGGGATGTATGCTCAAATGTTCCCCAAAAGGCTGCACCTAGGAAACCTTTCCTCAGCACGGACCAGGGCTTCCCCTTTGCCATATGGAAAGCCACCCTCCTCTACTCTTCCCTGGCCTTTATAGCCTAGCGCCTCCCTAGGACCAAGTACAATTAGGGCAGAGTTGGAGGGACTGGATACTCAGGTGAGGGTTTGTGACCCTTCCATCCCCCGCCCCCCATGGAGGGGTGTAAATGGTCACAAGTCCAACTAAAATGATCATGAAAGCTTGCCTCAGAGGACAGTAACTCACAAGACTCTGGAAGGGAAAGACATTTGCCCAAAGAGATGTGAATCCCCCAAGACAGGTAGAGTGTTACTCTGGCTCTTCCGTGGCAGGGTATGCAGGCCAGCATGTGGCTCAGTGAAAGACCACACATGACTTTGACTTGGTGAGGAGGGGCTCAGGAGGTTGAGCAGCCCAGCTGTGGGGACCAGGGCTGAGAGGAAACTTCTGAGGAGAGTCAAGCAAAGGCATGTCTGCATCCATTCTCATCCCGCAAACCTGTCAT